GGGGCAAAAGATCCCTGGTATTGGATGGTAATGGGTAAATCACTTCCCTGCACCCAGCAAGTCACCTGGCCTTCTTGGGCTCCCGTGGAATCACTTATGAAATAGGAATTCTTGTAGGTTCACTTGCAAGGTTGCTCTTCACTGGTAACATTTTGCAAACAACAAGTGCAATTTGAAGAAAATGCACAGGAACTCCTCTTGTCTGCCATGTCTTTCCTCCTTCTCTTTTGAATTCTCATCTTCATTGGGTTGGGATGCATTCAGCCTATGGTGACATCCATTCCACCTATGATGCTATACACTGACCTTCCCTGAACAGCATTAAATCAACGAAGGGATATTTCTGGGCCAAAATGCACCCGTCATTCAGATTTTAAAACTCACAAACACACTCAGGTATATATTCACCCAACCCATACTTTAAAGAACTGTACAGAGAAACTAACAAAATTAGTTTTAAATTACACATACTGAATGACCCTTATCCCTGTCAATGTGACTGCAAACTGCTAGAGTTGCAATCAGCATGTGTGTGCCATTAATTATTGTTTTTTATTTATTAATTGAAAGGCTGACTGTCATAACAAATAAGAACTTAAGCCTTGGAGTCAGACAGAATGGGCGGGACTGGGAAGCCACGGTCTCTTACTGGAATTGGGACATCTGACAGACACCCTGACCTCCGTAAAACAAGGAAGACTTCCTTGTGTGTAAGAGGTAATGCCAAGAACAGCATCTATTCCACAGAATTATTTATATGATTAAGTGAGACAATACTTATAAAATTCTTAGCACAGTATCTGGTTCATGGTGAGGTTCTAATGAATGTTTCTATTATTATTATTTTACATATACATTACAATACTTTTTATTTTTATGGTTTCATAGTATTCCAGAAAATTAATCAACAACGTCCCTTTTTTCTTTTTATTACTGCTAGGAGTTAGAGTTGTTTAAATTCATTTGGGGATATATGCCTCACTGCTATAAATATCTACATATCAAATATTGTTTTCTGCTAAGTTTATTTTCTTGAGGGATATTCAAGCAGGAAGCACAGGATGAAATAGGCAGTTTTTATGAACCCTCTTGTAAGTTGCCAAATTCCTCTCCAGAGGAAACTAAACCAATTTACTGATGGCTGTATGATATTATTAAACTTCTTTCTTCACAGACACACTAATTTTGGGTTTTCATTACTTTTATTTACTTATTGTAGAAATCAGCATAAAAGGCAGACCCAAAATAGTCAAATTTGCCTTTAACTAATTCAACTGGGTGTGCATGGGGAATCTCCAAATTATCTTCACAATTGTTCTGTGAACCTTGAACTGCTGCAAAATCATAAAGTCTATTAAGACAGAGGGGAAAAAAGTGTTTATAAAAAATTTAGAAAGAACTCCTATAACAGTGGTTAAAGGGATTACATATCAGTTTATTCATAGGTGAAAAGTTAATCTAATTCCACCAAACCACTGAAGATGGTTCTTAATAGGTGGTGGGATTATCAGAGATTAAAGACATGGATGGGTTACTCTTTTGGTTCATTTCATATTTTCTTACTCAGAAAGACAAAGCTGTATTTTTTTAAACAAAAATTATCTTTTTAATTATTAAAATATGATTGTTTTCTCATCTCTATGAAACATTTGTGTGTATTTGTATTGTCTTATCAAACTAAAGAGAGGACTTAACTTATCTTGCTGCTAAGGCTAGCTCTGGTTGATTTGGGACACTCATTTGGGAGAATAAGCAAGATATTGAGCTATTGCAAAGGAACAACGGAAAACTCTGAGATTTCTCTCATCCATTCTTTCTTTTGTAAAAATTGATTTGAGAGAGAGAGGAAGGAGGTAGAGGGAGGGAGGGTGGGTAAGGGAGAAAGGTGGGGAGAAAGAGAAACATGAATTAGTTGTTCCATTTATGGATACATTCATTGGTTGCTTCCTGTGTGTGCCCAGACCAGGGATAGAACCCACAAGCTTGGCATATCCAGAAGATGCTCTAACCCAAGGAGCTGCCTGGACAGGGACTCTTGTTCCTACTGGAGGGACAGATGGAGATAGGGAGCTCAGCTGAGAAGACCAGAAGCAACAAAGGGATACAAATCAAGATGAACGGTGTCTGGCTTGGCAAAACTGTTAAATGACTTTGCAAAAGACCTGTCACAATGGATAAACGGTACTGCCTGAAGCAGCAGCTTAGAATTCAGGCAGAGCACACGCAATCAGTTCCAGGGGTAAGACTGAGAGGAAGGAGAAAAAAGAGGAAAGGAAAGAAGATCAAAAGATGCCTTAATGGAGCTGAAGACATTTCTTAAATGAGGAACTAGAAAGGAGGGACTGTGAAAAGGAAAACTGAAACAAAGCATGAGTGCACTTCATTGTAAGCTTCAGCCGCTGGGCAAGCACCCACTATCTCTGGTCTTCCTCTGGCTCAGGACAAAAAGCGAGCTACTCTGTGCATGTTGACCACATTCTAATTGTTTTTATGGTAAATGAGCCATGAAACCTACTGTCAAAAACAGGGTGCCCAAAGGGTACAGTCGCACTCTGTCTTCCCAGCAGACCCCACCCAGGGGTTAATACCATCTGTGGGGCTGAAAGACTCAACACAGCATGGCCTCACTTCCCTTTAAGGCCAACTTTCAGGTAAGAGCCACTCCCCCCCAGCACCCTCTTTCTTCTGGGCCAAAAGAAAATCTTTAGGAATTATGTACCTGGTACACAGAATGATGGCAACACACCTGAGGAAGAGGCAGGAGGAGAGGGGTGGGCGAAAGCCTCTCTCCTCTTTCAATTAAGCCCATGGAGAGTTACACTGTTGCTAACAGAATTCCAGAACTGGCTCTGCGGATTATTGCATCTCATGATTTAGTCCCATTCAAAACTGAATCAGAGGGCACTCAAACAGCCACTGCTGGTTTCAAACCAACAGACTGCATTTTATTAATGAATGAATATACAGGGTACAGCAAAAGCAGGTTCACAGTTGTTCGTATGGAAAACAATATAATAATTAATAAATAATAATATGAGAATGAACTCTGTTTCACACACTCACAACTATAACCTACTTTTGTCCCACCCCGTACATTCTGGGTCCAGACACCTTCGGGGTGGTTTTCCTTTCAACCATGCAGTTTTCAGGTTCTGTGGGCAGGAACTACAATGTGTTTTGGCCAACTGCCTCAAAAAATACAAAAATACATGATAATACAAATGTTTGGGTGAAACAGACAGCTCCATCCTGCTGCTCTCTCCAAACTCCATGCCTTTCAAATTTAACCCAGATCTATCCAAACACACATATTAATCACTCCTACGTGTAGGCACCCTGCCCCTAAGAAGCTGCACTGGCCCACGAGGACATGGAAGACCCCAAGCTTCCATCTCTTTGGGCTGGTTCTAACAGAAAAGTTAATAGTCAGCTGTCCCACTTTCATGTCATTCCAGTGGGATGACATGAAAGGCAGGTAATGCTATGTTCTCATGATAACCCACACAGCAGCCACTGTATTTGGAGGCTGACACCAAATTCTTTAGACCCGAATTAGGAAAGGCACTTCCTTTGATAGATTTCTTCTTGTTCCAGTTTACAAGCAACTAATCCTCCCTGCATTGGATCAAACAGACGGGCACAATCAATTCAGGGAAAGCAAGCAATGCCAGGTCTGCTCAATTTTCCCTCAATGAACAGCAGTGGGGAGGAGAGGCGGAGGAAAGGAGAGAAAGAAAATTCAGGCATGCCTGCACCCAAGACAGCTTAGCGAAGGCAAAGATGAAAAGACAAGTTAAAATATATATCCTGGCAAGTGGAAGCTCTAGCTGTCAGAGGGAGAGGCTGAAACACCACAAAAATACCAAACATGCCTAAGCCTTGGGGTGCTGCAGGTGCTAAAGGGAGCAGGGGAAGGGGGAAGTGGTTAGGATATCAAAACAAAAGAAATTGGAGGCAGCAACTGTAGGCAGGAAAAGAGGTCTGCATTTACTTAAGTTTCCACAGTCTGTGATCTGTAGCACAGTATGAGGAGCAAGTTAATTACTGCTCTTAGGTAATTAAGTCTCAGAGAAACTAGTGCCTTCCAAAACAGTATTAATTTACGCTGCTAGATCATTCTAGGCTTGACCAGTGATTTGGTGAAAAGTTTTGCTGGGAGGTGGCCTAACAGTGGCAGGAGAAAAAGTAATGAAAATGATTTAGAAATGAGATGGCCCTGGTATTCACAGTTTTCTCTCTGCTTTCACAAACAAGTACATGTAGAGATTTTACCCTCATTTATCAGTAGTCACTTCCTCCCCCAACATCCATTCCCTCACTCAAAATGTGACCAATGTCTTAGAGCCTTGATTTCTCTTTTTCTGATTCTTTCTTTTCTTGCATGACCTTTATATCATCCCTTCCTGCCCCTAAATCTGTTTTGGTCAAATCTAAAGCATGTGTGTACGGTAAACACATCAAAAGCGCTTATCTGGATGATGTCTCCCCCTCAGAGACTCGTCTCTCACCACCGTGGCTCAGCCAGCCTCTCCAAGCCAATGTGTTCATCATCTTTCTGTGGTTTCTCTCATGTTCACATCGCATCCCCCCTTTTTTGCTAAGTAGTGGCTCCAAAATGATATCTGTTATATATATATCTATATCTATACCTATACCTATATATAAACATATCTGGCAAACTGGCAAATATAACCTGTGTGGCACCAAGTTGTATCTTCTTTCCATAAGCAAAATATATTAATAACACATTTACAAATACAAATAGCTTTACACTTGCATTTATGTGTACACATACATAGCATCCTCCTTGTTTTTAGCAGGAAGTGAGAATGTCTGGGGTCTTGCTCCCATAAAGGACCACTGTCCCTACCTTCATCCGGTGGCTCCCCCAGATTGTTCCATCGTCAAAGACCTCTAGGTCCACTAGAGTGGGCTTTCCTGAGATATTCTCTCACAGAAACACAGAAGGACACATTTCCCCACACCTGTGAGCATCCTACCTCTGGAGGTGGTAGTCCACAGCATCGTCCTCAGCATTCAGTAGGGCGGCTGCACGGGTCAGGAGCTGATGGCTGCAGCTGACGGACTTGAGCTCCAAGACGAGGAGGCCCAGGCAGAACATGGCTCCCATCTCCTCCAGCTCACGGGTGCCAAACTGGAGACCCTGCCAGGCAGACCAAGCATCAGCAGTGACTTTGCTGAGCATAGACAAGGTGCGAAAGGGAGGAAGGTCTCCTGGACACACACCCATCCCAGATACTGAGTGTTAACAGTATTTATCGGTCACAGTTCCAGGTGTTTGGTTGGGTCCTTTGTGGACTGGTGGGTCTCAGGCTGCATTACCTTGACATCCGGGGTTTCAGAGAAGTACCCCAAAGGCACAAGGGTGTGTGAGGATGCAAAGTCACCCCCCGCTTCAGTCAAAGCAGCCATGGCTTCATCTATCTGTATTTTCAAAGGGTTTCACTGCTGAAACCCAAGTTTGTAAACAATCTTACTAGGCAGTACCCTCTTTTCTCCCCTACACTTATCAACCAGTGGAGAAAATAAGGGAGGATCTTGTACAGGATCCGAAGTAAGTACAGAAACTGGAAAAAAAAAAAGATCCACCTTGTAGCTGCGCTACAATAATGTATGAACACAAAGCCACGGCATGTACTCTATGCTATGAAGTAACAGACAATAATAACAATGAAAACAACTGCGTTACTGAGCATTAACAATGAAAACAACTGCGTTACTGAGCATTACTATGTGCCAGGTACTGTTCTGTGCCCTTGACATGCATTAACTCAGCAATTCCTTACCAAAGCCCTATGAGGTGAGTACTGGTATTCTCTGCATTCCACTGAGGACACTCGGACCCACAGAGCTTACACTTTATCCACAGCCCCAGAGTAACAGAGGCTAGTCAGGGCATTCTGACTTGACTGACTACTCAACAGAAAGCGCTACACATGGACCAGGATGGACTTGATTACATGCTAAGGCAGACAGTGCATGTCTTCTGAAAGGAGACAGAAACTGGATTTGAATCCTCATTTCACTGTGTTCCAAATGTGTAATCTTGTACTTCATGAACTCTACGAGCTTTGATTTTTTTCTCACCTGTAAAACAGGATACTAATTCTTTCCTTTACATACTTAGGCATTTAGTTATAAGGAATATTCCAAAGTCCTCACAATATTAGTATTAGCTCAATTTCTCTTCTTCTTCTTCTTCTTCTTCTTCTTCTTAGTAAACATGTTAAAGAAGGCAGAATTCAATGTGGTCCTGAGGTCTTTGTGTTTATAAAGCACATAAACACAAAATTTTGCAAAGTATAAAGTTTTGCTTACATGAGTAAAAATCAATAGTTGAATAATATTCTTTAAATAGATTTTCACATCCAAAATAATACAATATAAAGAAGAGAAATCGGACAGTAACAGTTTTTGAAGACTGGTCATCAAGATCGCAAGGGAAAAAACAAAGCTCCAAACTGGAAAACCATAAGCCTCACAAAAGAATTTCTAGGCAAAAGGATAAAGGAAAGGGGGAAGTCCCCAAGGTCATTTCGGCAGTCTGAAAATTTGATTTGCTGATGTTTACACACCTGTTTTCCTAAAGAAAGACGACACTGCTTTGGAGTTAAGGAAATCTGTTCCTCTGTAAACAGCAGCAGTGGGAGGGGGAAAACAGATGTTTAACAAGTTGTTTTTCTTCAGTAAGTAGGGAAAAAAATCACTTTTTAAAGAGAGAAATCTCAGCATCTCTTTACAAGCACCAAAGTGCTGTGGTCTGATTCTTTTCCTCTGCCCTGCATTCCTGACTGCTTTTCCACATTCTAGAGTGGCCAGCTTGGCTGAGAGAATTGAGATGAAGCTCACACCCTTCTCCTCACTCTGAGTGGTGGCAAGGGAGAGAAGACAAGGGAAATATGAATAAGGTTCTGCTTACACCATTAAATGTCAGAGACGATGAAGCAATGAGCAGAGAACTGAGGGGAAAATACTGTGCCTTGAAGATGCTGTTTATGTGTCAGGGTCCCAAGAGGATAAACCCAAAAGGAGAGGGTGCACTGAATGCACATACCACACAGATAAAGTTTCACAATTTCTTCTTAAAATGTCAATGTAATCCTGTTATTTACAATAGCCAAGACGTAGAAACATCCTGGTATCCATTAGTGGATGGATGAATAATGTGGTACATATAAAATATTATTTTGTGATTGATAAAAAAAGGAAACCCTGCCATTTGCAACAACACAGATGGACCTTGAGCACATCATGCTAAGCATAGTAAGACACAGAGCCAAACACTATATGATTTCACTTACAAGTAGAATAAAAAAAAAAGATACAAATTCAAAGATACAGAGAAGAGATGGATGGTTACTCGATGGGTTGAAAGGTACAAACCTTCAGTTACCCAATAACTAAGTCCTGGGGAATATCATGTACAGCATGGTGACTACAGTTTATAATACTAGACTATAATATATGTGAAATTTGCTATGAGAGTAATCTTAAAAGTTCTCATGACAAGAAAAAAAATTTTGTAATTGTGTGGTGATGGATGTTAGCTAGATGAATATAACTGTGATAATTTCACAATCAATACCTACATTGAATCATTATGTTGTATACCTGAAGCTAATACAATGTTATATGTCAATTACAACTCAATAAAATGCTGCAGGGAAAATATTAGCATAACCCTAATACAAAAAATAATCATTAGAGCACCTACCCCAACTATTCATATATATATATATATATATATATACACACACACACATATACACACACACATATACACGTATACACACACACATACATACATACACAAATATTGCAATATTTTAAAGTTCTTTATGTTAAGAAATAGAAATATATCAAAACAGACAACATGATCTACAGAGTATTTTTCTAAGAATGGCATGGGAAGGATATCATTGGTAAATCTACTAACGTAAGTGTTTAATACATAAGGAGATCAAGAGGCAGAGGAGGGAAAACCCAGGAACTTCTGGATGATGCATCCATGTCTGACGCAAGTCACAGTGGGCAAGCCCAACAGGACTCTCTTTCCACCTGCAAGCTGCATCACAGGCTGGGTGCAAGCACAGGCCCAGGGCCCAGACTGCTAAAGTCCACTCCCAGAGCTGCCACTTACTGCTGTCTCGTCTTGGATGGAAGTTATCTAACCCATCAGTGCCTTAACTTTCCCATCTGTGTAATGGGAATAATAACAATAATAATATAATACTACCACCTATCTCATGGAGCTGCTGAGATCATTCAGTGAGTATACACACACACAGATTAGTACTTAGCTGACTGCAAATTATCCAAGTTTTTACTGTCACATCATCCAAGTTCTATATTTATTATCACTAATAACAGCAAATAAATGCTTACATAAAGCCAATAGGCAAAATCATACTTAATACACACGATCTTTCTTAAAACTATGGCCTGCTCTCACTGCTACCATTTATCATTATTTGACAAGTTTCAAACAATTCAATAAGATAAAAAAAATGAGTTATAAATATTAGGAAAAAAGTCACATTATCATTATTTGAAGACTGATTATGTACTAAAACCAAAGAAATGAAGTGAAACAGAAAATCTATTAGATATAAGGCAAGAACTGAGTAAGTAGACAGGTTACAAATTAAATATCCAAAAATCAATTCTCTTTCTATTAACCAGCAAAATAAATTATTAAGTATAATAAAAATCCCATTCACAATAGCAACACAACTATAAAATGCCTAGGAATGGAATTAATAGTAAATACCCTGAGGGCTATATGACGAACCCTGGAGATTACCAAGAGATAACAAGGAAAATTTAAATGAGTGAAGAAATAGGGTGATTCTGAGAGAGCAAGGCTGAACGCCATCAATTATCATTTCTCCTCCTGTTAATTTATAAAAGTACAGCAAATCAAAACACCAAAGGGAATTGTCAGCCTTGGCAAACTAAATCCACTTTAGAAGAGACTACATGGCAAAAATATCCAGAAATATTCTCAGAATAAAGAGTAAAAAATAAGAGTGGGATTATCTCTTACAGATAGGCAGATCTTACACTCTTACAGTGATTAAGAGCTATGGTACTGATGCAAAACACGGCAGACAGACCAAGGCAAGAATCAGGAAAACACCGAAGACCACAGAATGAGTGAAGGTTTACATCAGATATAGGAGCCTTTAAAGTCAGCAGGGGATGAACTGTGATGAAGATAAGACAAACAAAAAAAGTGATTAATGTTTCAGGGAAGAAAGTATCCACAAATACAAAATTATTCCATTTTGGTTAAAGGATTTGATTTTTTTAAACAATGTATGATTAGAGAAATAATAAAATATAGATTTGTATGTTTTATCATCTCCAAACCAGAAGGTCAATGTATGCACATCCTCCAATAAGAACAATAAGGAAAAATATTAGTGATTGTATGAATAAAATTTAAGTATATCCCAATAGCCTGAAATACCACAAACTAAACTAAAAAGGGAAACAAACTGAATTACAGTAAAGGGGAAAATACCGTAACTTCATCCGGTGTAAGATGCAAATTAATGCAACAGTAAAAGAGCACGATTTACTTCCCAATTCATTTTTACCCTCTCTCCCCAAATCATAATTGTCTATTGGTAAAGGGCTAAAAACAGGCCTATCCTAGTCTGTTACTGGTGAAAGTACATATTACTGAAGTATTTCCAAAAGACAATTGGATAATATAGTTCAAAAGCCTTCAAAATGTTTAAGTGCTTGCAATTAATTCAAATTCTAGAAATTATTCTTAAATGATCATGAGATGAACAACAGAGAAAATCCCAAATGCATACCAGTTTATTACTAGCCAAACAACCCTGACTGTATTGACATCATGGATCACTATTATCCCCACCTGTTTTGAACAGGCAACACCAAGGGGGAAGATTCATGCCAGTGTCGAAGTGCAACAAGCTGGCTGCAGCACAGCATGTCCACTACAGTCCCCCCAAAGTTTTTTTAATGATTTATATGCACTAAAATGACTATGCACAGTGAGGGTGCATCCTTTAATTTTTTTTTCAATCAGGAACAATTAAGTAACTGCTTTTTGCCACTCGTATTTATGTAAACAATGCATATTAGCCTGCAAAGAGTAGCATATCTGAA